GGTCCCAGCTGACTGTCCCATCTCCTGCAGGCCACAAGGGACACAAGGCACCTCCCCAAAGCAAGACTGCCAGGGTCCCCAGCCAGGTAAGGCATTTTCTATGCCTCTCCTGCCTCCCTCCGCTAGGAAAGCTCCCCCTTCCAAGGCTGACTGGAACGGGGGAGGGACTTTCTCTAGGATGCCCAGGCCTGCAGCCACCTCAGCTCTGGGAGCAGCTATGCTGTCCTGGGCTTCGGAGTCCCCAAATCAGCCCCTCCACTGGGTTTCATCCAGGACAGCTGCCTCTCCTCAACATACTCTGTGTACCCAGAGTGTTGAACCTACACAGGTGTGGCCATGTTCAGTCCACAGTGAAGTGTTGCCTCAAGTAACACTCAATAAAAGTCCTGGGTCCCCCAGCTGCTTGGGCTCAAGCACCCAGGGAATGTCCATAGGTTGAGCTTGCTGAGGGTTTCAAGATGGTGAGGTTTGTGTGCGGCCATGCAGATTTGGGTTTGGGGACTAGGATTGCAATTTGGGCTGTCCCCTGCCCTGTGCCCTGACAGCCTCCTCGACAAGCCCTAACTGCTGGCTTTTCCTCCCCAGGACCCACAGAGTGCCAGGCCCAGATGATCGTGGTGGTCTTGGAAGCGGGAACAGAGCTGCAGCTTCGCCTGGGAGCTGAGGGCCTGGTGCTGGCCCACAGACAGCCCGCAGCTCACGCTGGGCCTGTGGTGGTCGTGGTGGTCCCTGAGCATGTCCTGACAGCAGCAGAGGGACTCTGGTTCCCTGCCCAGGCCCGCTGGCTCCTGCTCACAGGTGCTGACCCCACCGGGAGATCAGCATGGAATACGGGTCTGCAGTTCCCCAGGAAGTAGCCGCTGTGTGGTCCTCAGGCAGACAGGGTGGCTGGTGCTCCCCACAGCCCACAGCCATCTTGAAATGCCCAGCCAATGCAGCGCCAGGAGCCCGCTCTCTGGCCACCCAAACACCCTCTTCCTCACCCCTTGCTACACAGCCGCCGCCCTCGGGGCTCCTCCCACATGCCAGGCCTCACCCGAAGAGGCATCTTCTGCCAGCTGAGTTCCAGTTGGGGCTCCATGGCCTGGAAACCCTGGCCTGCTCTGCCCTCAGACCTCTGCCTCCCTCTCCCCTCCCAGCTAGGGCCCAGAGCCCCTCCCATCAAGGCCTGCCACAGGCCAGGCTGCTAGGCACACAGACATGTCTTCCAACACTGATGCCCCCCACCCCCAGGAGCCCTCAGGCCCCACATACTGCAGACAAGCTGACAGCAAGACCATGGATATCTGCCCCTTCCAGGATTGCCCCTTCCTGATCTCACCCCCTGTTGATGAGGGGGACCTTCTGGGTTTGGTGGGCTGTGGAGAAATGCCGTGTGCTCTACATCTGCCTCAGGCACTGGAGAAATAGAGGCAGTGATGAATTTTCGGTGTCAATGATTTCCTTTTTTTTTTTATTTTTGACAGGCAGAGTGGACAGTGAGAGAGAGAGACAGAGAGAAAGGTCTTCCTTTGCCGTTGGTTCACCCTCCAATGGCCGCCGCTGCTGTCAATGGGATGAGAGTTTTGGTGACACCATTGTAATACCCAATTCCAATTGTAAATACCAGGTCACTGTGATGACAATCAATATAGCAGCACTATGAGTTTTACACATCTTGCATTTATTGAGGGTGAATTTGGACAGTTTGGGATTGTCAGGAATCTGGGGCCTGTATCTCTTGTGAAACCTGTGTTCATACCTGGTGTGTTATATGAACTGAAGTTTCTTGTGGAGTCCTTCTGCATGTGTGAAACACACCCTGGATTAGAATTCAAAAGGAAGGACTTTGATCTGGATTATGTTTGATCTGGATTATGGGGCTCAATCCTTGGATTTCTTGGACTGAATAAACTGCAAATAATTTCCATGGTTTTGTATTTATTTTTTCTTTCTTAGAAATGCAGATCACAGAGAGAGAAGGAGAGACAAAGAAAGAGGAGAGTTCTCATACATGAATCACTTCCTAAATGGCTGCAAAATTTAGAGGCTGGACCAGACTGAAGCCAGGAACCTGGAGTTTCATTTGGATCTCCCACAGAGGTGGTGGGGACACAAGCACCTGGGCGATCTTCCACTGCCTTCCCAGGAGTGTTTGCAGGAAGCTAGATCAGAAGTGCAGCAACCTGTGCTCTGAGGACACTCAGCTGGAATGCTGCAGCCATGTGGGTGGCAATGTACGCTGGGCCACCACACTGGCCCTCATGGATTTTGGTTCTTGTGTTCACTGTCACACACAATTTTCAAGGCATATTTTAGCAGTGCCAATGAGCAAGTCTGCAGGATGCCATCTCTACATTGAAAGGACTTAGAGGGCCTCAACCTGGATGCAAGGGTCCAAGCACTGGGGCCATCTTTTCTTGCTTTCCCAGGTGCATTAGCAGGAAGCTGGATGGGAAATGGAGCGTTCAGAATCCAAACCCCTGCTCCAATGTGTGATGCTGGCATTGCACAAGGGCTGTTTAACAAGCTGTGACATGATGCTGGCTACAAATGTGTAGTATTTTCATACATGTGAGTGGTGCACAATGACCCAAACCTGCTAACCAGTATATACATCACCAAAAAATTTATCCATTATGGGGCTGGCACTGTGGTGCAGTGCGTTAAATCCCTGGCCTGCAGCACCGCACCCCATTGGGCGCTGGTTTAAGTCCCAGCTGCTCCACTTCACTCCAGCTCTCTGCTATGGCTAAGAAAGCAGTGGAGAATGGCCCAACTCCTTTTGCCGTTGCACCCATTGAGTGACCTGGAGGCAGCTCCTGGCTCCTGGCTTTGGATTAGCTCAACTCTGGCCAAGGTGGCCATTTGGGGAATGAACCAGCAGATGGTAGACCCTTTTGTGTCTGTGTCTCCCTCTCTCTGTAATTCTTTTAAATAAATAAAATAAATCCTTAAAAACAATAGGTATATTTTTGGTCATTTAACCCACAAATGTATGAGATATTTTATTTTTTAATTTTTATTAATGAATATAAATTTCCAAAGTACAGAATATGGATTACAATGTTTTCCCCCCCATAACGTCCCTCCAACCCGCAACCCTCCCCTTATACACTGCCTCTCCCCTTCCATTCAAATCAAGATATATTTTCGATTTCTTTATGTACAGAAGATCAGTTTAGCATACATTAAGTAAAGATTTCAACAGTTTGCTCCCACACAGAAACATAAAGTGTAACATACTGTTTGAGTACTAGTTATAGCATTAAATCTCAATGTACAGCACACTAAGGACAGAGATCCTACATGAGGAATAAGTGCACAGTGACTCCTGTTGTTGACTTAACAAATTAAACTCTTGTTTATGGCCTCAGTAATCACCCTAGCCTCTTGTCATGAGCTGCCAAGGCTATGGAAGCCCCCTGAGTTCACTGACTCTGATCATTTTTAGACAAACAGTGGAAGTTTTCTCCCCTCCAGAGAAAGGTACCACCTTTGATGACCCATTCTTTCCACTGCGATCCACTTGTAGAGATCTTTCCTTTAGGTTTTTTTTTTCCCCAGAGTGTCTTGGCTTTACATACCTGAAATACTCTCATGGGCATTTCAGCCAGATCAGCATGCCTTAGGGGCTGATTATGAGGCCAGAGTGCTGTTAGGATATTTGCCATTCTATGGGTCTGCTGTGTATCTCTTCCCATGTTGGATCATTCTCTCCCTTTTTGATTCTATCAGCTAGTATTTGCAGACATTCTTGTTTATGTGATCCCTTTGGTTCTTAGTCCTATATAACGTTTAATTGTGAACAGAAATTGATCACTGGGACTAGTGAGATGGCATTGGTACATGCCACCTCGATGGGATTGAATTCGAATCCCTGGTATGTTTCTAACTCTACTGTTTGAGGTAAGTCAGCTTGAGCATGTCCCGAATTGCACATCTCTTCCCTCTCTTATTCCCACTCTTATTTAACAGCGATCACTTTTCAGTTAAGTTTCAGCACTTAAGAAGAATTGTGTATTGATTACAGTATTCAACCAAAAGTATTAAGTAAAACAAACAAAAAAATACTAGGAGGGATAAATATTAAGCTGCTCATCCACAGTCAGGTGAGGGCTGATCAAGTCACCGTTCTCATAGGTTCATTTCACTTTAACAGGTTTCCTTTTTGGTGCTCAGTTAGTTGTCACCTATCAAGGAGAACAAGTGGTATTTGTCCCTTTGGGATTGGCTTATTTCACTCAACATAATGTTTTCCAAATTCTTAACAGGGATCACTTTTCAGTTAAAATTTAAACACCTAAGAATAATTGTGTGTTAATTACAGAGTTCGACCAATGGTACTAGAAGAAAAACAAAATACTAAAATGGATAAAGTATTACATTGTACATCAACCATCAGGACAAGAGCTAATCAAGTCACTGTTCTCATAGTGTCCATTTCACTTCAACAAGTTTCCCCTTTGGTGCTCAGTTAGTTGTCGCCAATCAGGGAGAACATATGATATTTGTCCCTTTGGGACTGGCTTAATTCACTCAGCATGATGTGTTCCAGATTCCTCCATCTTGTTGCAAATGACTGGGTTTAGTTGTTTTTGACTGCTGTATAGTATTCTATAGAGTACATGTCCCATAATTTCTTTATCCAGTCTACTGTTGATGGGCATTTGGGTTGGTTCCAGGTCTTAGCTATTGTAAATTGAGCTGCAATAAACATTAATGTGCAGACAGCTTTTTTGTTTGCCAATTTAATTTCCTTTGGGTAAATTCCAAGGAGGAGTGGGATGGCTGGGTTGAATGGTGGGTTATATTCAGGTTTCTGCGGAATCTCCAGACTGACTTCCATAGTGCTGACCCAGTTTGCATCCCACCAACAGTGGGTTAGGTCCCTTTTCCCCCCACATCCTCTCCAGCCTCTATTGTTGGTAGATTTCTGAATTCGGAGCCATTCTAATGGGGTGAGGTGGAACCTCATTGTGGTTTTGATTTGCATTTCCCTGATTGCTAGTGATCTGAACATTTTTTCATGTGCCTGTTGGCCATTTGGATTTCCTCTTTTGAAAAATGTCTATTGAGGTCCTTGGCCCATCTCTTAAGTGGGTTGTTTGTTTTGATCTTGTGGAGTTTTTTTGATTTCTTTGTAGATTCTGGATATCAACCCTTTATCAGTTGCATAGTTTGCAAATATTTTTCCCATTCTGGCGGTTGTCTCTCACCTTCCTGACTGTTTCTTTTGAAGTACAGAAACTTCTCAATTTGATGCAATCCCAAATGTTAATATTGGCTTTGACTGCCTGTGTTTCTGGGGTGTTTTCTAAGAAGTCATTGCTGGTACCTATATCTTGCAGGGTTTTTCCAATGCTCTCTAATAATTTGAAGGTGTCAGGTCATAGATTTAAGTCTTTAATCCATGTTGAGTGGATTTTTGTGTAAGGTGTAAGGTAGGGGTCTTGCTTCATGATTCTGCACATGGAAATCCAATTTTCCCAGCACCATTTATTGTATAGACTGTCCTTACTCCAGGGATTGGTTTTGGACCCTTGATCAAATATGAGTTGGCTGTAGATGTTTGGGTTGATTTCTGGTGTTTCAATTCTGTTCCATTGGTCTATCCATCTGTTTCTGTACCAGTACCATGCTGTTTTGAGTACAACTGCCCTGTAATATGTCCTGAAATCTGGTATTGTGATGCCTCCGGCTTTGTTTTTGTTGTACAAGATTACTTTAGCTATTCGAGGTCTCCTGTACCTCCATATAAATTTCAGCATCATTTTTTCCAGATCTGAGAAGATGGTCTTTGGTATCTTGATTGGTATTGCATTGAATCTATAAAGTGCTTTTGGGAGAATGGACATTTTGATGATATTGATTCTTCCAATCCATGAGCATGGAAGATTTTTCCATTTCTTGGTATCCTCTTCTATTTCTTTCTTTAAGGTTTTGTAATTTTTGTAATTTCATCGTAGAGGTCTTTAACGTATTTGGTTAAGTTTATTCCAAGGTACTTGATTGTTTTTGTAGCTATTGTGAATGGGATTGATCTTAGAAGTTCTTCCTCAGCCATGGCATTGTCTGTGTATACAAAGGCTGTTGATTTTTGTGCATTGATTTTATACCCTGCTACTTTGCCAAAATCTTCTATGAGTTCCAATAGTCTCTTAGTAAAGTTCTTTGGGTCCCCTAAGTAAAGAATCATATCATCTGCAAAGAGGGATAGTTTGACTTCTTCCTTCCCAATTTGTATCCCTTTAATTTCTTTTTCTTGCCTAATAGCTCTGGCTAGAACCTCCAGAAATATATTGAATAGCAGTGGTGAGAGTGGGCATCCCTGTCTGGTGCCAGATCTCAGTGGAAATGCTTCCAACTTTTCCCCATTCAATAGGATGTTGGC